CGTCCCTGTCCCATCCTGGATGCAAATGCGGCTAGGGGAGTTGCCTTAATCCTGTCACCCTTGTCCGGAGGGGGTTAGGTGTTTCTCCCACGGACTTTTCATTGCTTTTTCTAAGTCTTTCTTCTGATCGGCTTTGGTTCAAGCGGAGGCTGTGGGTGGAGGGGAAGGTCCTTCGTGAGTCAGCCAGACTGGGTACTGCACCCTGGTTCCCCAAGCGCACAGAGCTGACAGGTAACACTAAAGTTAGGCATACACCAGAATTTTTACTCCAGTGTTTGCTAAATGCTAATCCAGACACTTGTAAACATTGGGCCAAATCACAGTTAGGCCTTGTCTGTACCCAAACATTGAACTACTTTAACGGTAGCAGACACTGACTCTGTGGGTGCTCCGGGGCTGGAGCACCCATGCGGAAAAAATGGGGCAACCTCCCTATCAGAACCTCCCCCTCCCCCCAGCTCCTCCTGCCCGCCAGTGGGACCCGCCAATCAGCACCTCACTGCACCTCTCACCCACCACAATCAGCTGTTTTGCGGCATGCAGGAGGCTCTGGGGAGGGAGGGGGAGGAGTGAGGACACTGTGTGCTTGGGGGAGGGGTGAAACGGGGCGGGAAGAAGGGGGGCAGGGCAGGGGTGGGAAGAAGGGGGTGGGGCCTGGGGGGAAGGCATGGAGTGGGGGGGGGGCTTGGGCAGAGCCGGGGGTTGAGTACCCCCCCAGCACACTGGAAAGTCAGCACCTGTGGTAGCAAGGTAGTTAAAGTGGTACAAGGCCCTCTTCTCTGCTGTGTGTGGTGGAACACACAGCTGTAAAGCATGTGTCATGTCCCCCTCTAGTTCCATATGCAGGATAACAGCTTTCTACTGCTGCCAGCAAAAAACTCGAGTGGGAGAGGCATGTGCAGCCATGCTGAAGGGCGCAGGGGTTCAAATTCTACTGCTGACCCCTGGGGAGTCATCACACACATACGACAGGGGTGCGGCCTGGAGAATTGGGAATGGGAGCCGAGCCTTTCACTTCCACGTCAGAGGAGCTTCCCCCCCCCCCCCGACAAAAACCACCCTTGCAGCGGGCATGAAGGGTCACCCACACTGGCAGCCTCAGTGGGGGGGTCAGGAACGGCCTGAGCTAAGGAAAGTCATCTCTAGGGGGGGGTTCCCTTAGGTCCAGGGGGACAGGGTGGGATGGTCTGAAGAACCCTGGTGCTGGCACCTTAAATCCATGTTGGCAGGGCCCTGGGTCTGATAGGGAGGGACTCATGAGATGGCTGCTACAGGGGGAGGGTCAGGAGGAAACTTCCCTGGCGGCAGGGTATCCTGGGGTCTCTTCCATGCTGGCGGTGGCCTGGAGGCAGGATACCGGGCTAGATGGGCCCCTGCTGTGCTCCACTCTGGCAGTAACTGTCCCTATTCTCTTTCCGTAAGGTGTTAGTGACTCCCCATTAAAATGGGGAGTGGGGGGAACTGGGCCCTGGCAGCTTGCGCTGAGAAGGGGGGTGGGCACCGTCGATTGTGCTTGTTTCCATTGAGCCATGCCCTGGATTCGGGAGAGGGAGGGGACTAAAGGCGAGTTCAGAAGGGAACAGACAGAGCGAGGCGGGGAGCTGAGCACAGCATGGGATGGACGCGCTGATCTAAGTGCCACAGCCATGGCCCCGAGGGAGAGGTCCAGACCCCGCGGCCACCCCATCGCCCCCGCCAGCCTGTGGCTTCTCCACTGCTACCTGTCAGGTACCCTGGGGGCACAAGGGGAACCAGATGGGGCAAGGGAGAGGGGACAATTCCTCCTGTGGCCGGGATGGTGACCCCACGCATTCGCCTCCAGCCCCTTCTGGGCCTGATCGCTACTCAGGTCAAAGGCCCTGCAGATTGCGATCAGCGGGGTGAGCAGGGCAGCCTGGGGGCTGGAGGGAGGAGGGGCGGGGGTCAGCATGGGGCGGGGGTCAGTCTCGGGGGCTGGCCGCCGGGAGGAGAGATGGACTGGAAGTCCCTGAGCTAGGTGCCAATCCCAGATCTTTCACCACCACCACCCCTCATGCCCATGGCCAGGGATCCCTGCAGCACCTTGCACGGAGCTCTGTCTCATCCCCTCAGGCTCCTGGTGACACAACCAGCTGCAAGGGAGCTCTGGCGTAATGCTTCCAAGGGGTGTGAGTAGGGGGTGGCACAGGGTGCCCCCGGGGGGGCAGAGAGGTGAGACCTCTGGCAGCTGCTGCCTGACCCACACTGGCATCCTGGATGAGGGGCTGGTTATGCCCAGCTGGCCCAGCTGGGTGCTAGTCCCTGCTTTGCCACAGACTCCTTGTGTGACCTGGGGTAAGTTGCTTAGCTTCCCGTGCCTTGGTTTCCCCTGTGTGCAATGGGGATAGTCTGGGCAGGGTGACACTGCTATTTGCCCTGCAACATTCGTCCAGGGCCTGCTAATACTTCTCAGAGGGGGCAGCAAGTCTAGTGGTTAGAGCAGCAGCGGGGGAGGGGCTGGGAGTCAGGATTCCTGGGTTTGATTCCCAGCTCTGGGAGGGGAGTTACCTAGTGGTTAGAGCAGCAGCAGGGGAGGGCTGAGCACCTGGACTCCTGGGTTCTATTCCCATCTGGGGGAGGGGAGGGGAGTCTGAGAGCAGGGCAAACTACAAATCTGGACTCCAGAGTTGTATTCTCACCTCTTTCTTACCCCCTTGAGTTACCGTGGGCAATTCACATAATCACCGTGTGCCTCAGTTTGCCACCTATCAGTTACCCCTTGAGCCCTCCAAGTGGCAGATCTGCCATAACTGCCTTGCATTACCAGGCTAAATCACGGTCCATCCATGACGCCTGCCTGGCGCCTTAGAGCTGCCGCGGTGCAGTGGCCTTTCCTAGGCTGAGAGGCTTCTTTGTTCTGGGTCGCTGACACGGGGAGGGAGGGGGGTGTTGATGACACCCCCACGGGTGTGTGGCCAACTACAAACCCATCTCCCAGCAACACGCCAGGGAGCTGGAGACGACCCATGGGCTGGGGAGGGGCGGGAGCCCAGCTGACTGGAAGCCCAGCGGAGCGGCCTTTATGGACACTGGTGTGGAGGGAAGTGTGGACTAGCGGTTAAGACACAGCCAGGGCACTCAGGGTGCCTGGGTTCTAGTCCCGCCTTGTGGGCGAGTTGCTTTCCCTTCTCTGAGCCTCAGCTTCCCCATCTGTCACATGGGGCCGGCAAGCTTCCCCATGTGCACAGCTGTCTGGGAAGTGCTTGGAGATACTAAGGGCTATGAGGCAGCACAGTCTTTCTCATGGGGGCCTCTATCGCCCCCACCTGGAATGGACAGGAACCTCTCATGGGGGGCCACTCTTTCCAGGCTGCCTTTGGGGGCCCATTACTGGTGTTCGCTGCACCGTGCTGGGGAGGGGCTGTCTTAGCCGGTGGGCACCTTAGTGACCAGGCCAGGGCCCCTCAGACATGGCATCAGCGCGGCTGCCTGTCCCATGGCCCCTTGCACAGCGCTTCCTAATTAGTGCCAATTACCCTGAGGAGTTGTCATGCCCCCCCCCCCATGCCTCCGTTAATTATCTGGCATGGGAATAGGGCAGGCAGATGGTTCCCACTTTGTGCAGTTCCCTGGAGCAAGTGTCCACAACAATCCCCTCCCCGCCACTGCAGGACAGTGCCCCATTGTTCAGCCCCCCCCATCTCCTGCATCCAGCTGAGATCCCGGGGAGGGGGTGTGGGGGGGGTGTGAAGCGGCATCCCAGCCTGGAAAGGGTTAAACAGGCTGGAGCTGATGTGTGACGGCTCCTAATCGCTCCTCCGGCCCCGAAGGGGTTAACCCAGCCAAGCTGGGATCGAGGCAGGACAGGAGACAAATCCATGTTAATTACCGAGTGGGACTAATTACTATTGATGGTTCATTGGCAAAATGAATTGGCAAAACATAGTTGCCCGGTGCAAGCCAGACAGACACACTGGCTGCTGCTCCAGACTTATTCCAACTCCTCAGTCCAGAAATCACGCCCCAAATCTCTTGTGCGCTGGCTGCCCCTTGCGTGTGGCTTCGGACCAGCCTGGTCGCTCTGGCTTGGGAATCCCCCAGCCAGCCTTGAACTAGTTCGGTTTCCCCGCAATCGGCCCAGCCTCAGCCCTGACTTTTTCCTCCTCACGGTTTCTCCAGGGTTCCTCAGGTTGGAGCAAAGATTCAGCCAAGGTGAAATTCCCCTCGGCAACCAGGGATAGGCCCCATGTAGCGCTAGGCCCCATGTAATGCCCAGCTCTGCCTGGGGGACCCTGCGCGGGTGAGGGCTGCGTCTCTGGGAAGCTGGGTGGCTAATGCAGGCCAGTGGGGAATGCAGCTTTACATGAACTCTTTGTGCCTGGATCACGTTGACAGTCCTCACGGTAACAACCACTGGGCTGGCACAGGCCGGATGCTAGAATTGTTCTGGCCCAGCATGGTCAGGAACTGTTCCTGTGCCCAGCTCTAGGCCGTGCCAGCGTCACCCACTGCCTGGGGGTGTCAGGTGCCCTCACACCGGAGGGTGGAGGCTGTTTCAGCCACACAGGCCCTTAGCTCTGGTTGTCCCTTGTCAGTCCCTGCATTGGCTGCTGGCAGCCATCCCGGCTGAGGGAGCTTGTCTGTTTTTCACTCCTCTGGCTCTGAATCTTGGCCAGGCTTCCAGCTTTCATTGCCAGGATCCTCCGTGCTGACTCCACCCGTTGTGCCTTTTCCAGCAGTGGGCGCGGTGAAGGTGTCGGTGGGTGCTGCCAGCATCCAGGTGGCGAGGGGAGGGAACGCGCTTCTGCCTTGCAACTTCCACACCACGGCCTCGCTGAGTCGCCTCAACATCATCTGGACGGTCACGCCGCTGGCGGAGCCAAACCGCCCCCAGCAGGTAGGTGGAGCGTGGCCCTTTTCCTTCCCTTCTGTTGCTGGAGGGCGGTTAGCTTCGGTACAATCAGGGATTGAGGTCCCAGTCAGGGATCGGGGCCCTAGGATGCTGCACACTGTCCCTACCCAGAAACCTCACAGCCTAGGATGGTGGCCAGACAAAACAGGTGGGAGAAAGCAATGGAAGAGAGGGGGCGCGAAAGCAACGTCTGGGGGGGGAGGGGGAATCAACACACGAGGACAAATTAACTTTTGATGCCCAGTAAACAGCCATCCCGGTTCACCAGCTGCTGTCAGATGGCAGAGTCTTGCAGGCATCGCAAGAGAGAGGAGCTGTTGTGAGCGCGCTGTGCAGTTTCTCAAAACTGGGGCACCATTAACCTGTGGAACTCCTTGCTGCAGGATACTAGTGAGGCTAACAGTTTAGCAAGGTGTTGACACACAGGAATAATAGCAGCAGCTGCAGGCACACTGTCTGGATAAAACAAGAAGGGGCAGATTTCAGGGTGGAGCTCGCTAAGGAGTCATGGAGGAGTTCTGCTCCCCCACACCCCGCTCTGCCCTGCCCTGCCCCCATGGGGTACTGCTACATTGCTGCTTAGGAGCATTGTATGGAGAGGGCAATGAGCCACCTGCCCCTCTCTCACACTGCAGATTACAGCCTGGCCTTGCCTTTCAGGCCACCAACCTAAACAGTGACTTTAAAAGCAGCCTCCTCTCCCTGTCACGAGGGGGAAGGCAGTGCTGGGATGAAGGTGCTGCCTGGAAGCACCACCCTAGGATGCACCCTTGAACAGACCCCTGTTGGGCTTCATCCTCCTTTTCAGTAGGCCCAGCCCTGCTCCTGCTGACACTGGGCTTGGCACTAGCCCCTCCAGGTATAAGAACATACAAACGGCCACTCTGGGTCAGACCAATGGTCCAGCTAGCCCGGTATCCTGTGTTCTGACAGTGGCTACTGCCAGGTGCTTCAGAGGGAATGAACAGAACAGGGCACTTATCGAGTGAGCCCCAGAGCATGGGGTTGTGTCCCTGACTATCTTGGCTAATAGCCATCCATGGACCTAGCCCAGCTAGTTGGTGTCAGCAGTGGGATTTGACGTAGGCACTCCTGGCTCCCAGCCCAATGCTTTGCCCACTGGCCCACACTGCTTCTGCCAGTGCAATGGAAGTGCCCTGTGCTCAATGAGGGAACAAGGTGAGGCGTCTCTGGCTCATGGCTGGTTTCTTCCCTCCCTTCCCCTCCACCCCAGGTCCTGGCCTATGAGCAGGGAGAGGTGGTGGAGAGTCTGTCCCAGTACACGGGCCGCGTGGGCTTCGCCTTCCCACCCGCCCAGAGTGCCACCATCTTCCTCAACAAGACGCGCAGCTCGGATAGCGGGACGTACCAGTGCAGCGTCATGAACCCACCCGACCGGGACACGCCCAACATCGGGGTCATCCAACTCACCGTGCTCGGTACGTCCCACCCTCATGGGGAAGAAGCCCTGCCTCACCTCTGCTGCCCTGCCCCCCCTCCCCCCAGCATCCCTGCCTTTACACTGTCTACTGGGTGCTTGTCTCAATGTGTGTGTGTGTGTGTGCAGGTCTTGGGGTGGATCTGTCTGTCTCTGTGTGTAGCTCTTGGTGTGTGTGTCTGAGTGTGTGTGTGTGTGTGTCTGAGTCTTGGGGGGCCTGGTTGTGTGAGTAGGTCTGCCAGAGTGTGTGCAGTTCTTGGTATGTGTGCGTCTGTATGTCTGTGCAGGTCAGGGGTGTGTATCTGTCTGGGTCTTGGGGGTGTGTGTCTGAGTGTATGTGTGTGGGGGGAGGATTGGGGTGTGTGTGTCCCAGTGTGGCTGGGAGTGAGTGCTAGTGTGTGTGTGCCCCTATCTCAGTGGGTGCATGTGCACACACATCTGAGCAGCTGTCTGGGTGTGTGTTGTGTGCACACTTTGTTGTGTGCCTCTGTGTTACTATCTGTGATATCATGAGATTTAGTGCAAAATGTGCACGTGGGAGTAAAGCCTGTGTGTGAGCATGTAGCAGTGTGTGTGGCGCCTTGGTCTGACGCCTGGGTGTGTCTGTACCATGAGGGTGTATCTGTGTGTGTGTTTGTGTGCATAGTGTTTGTGCTCAGCTGAATTGTCTGGGTATTGTGTATATATATGCTTGTGTGTGGGAGTGCACGGGCATTGTGTGTGTTCATGTGCACTGTGTTCACTGTGCAGTGTGTCTGAGTGTGTGTGTGTGAGTGCATGTGCAGTGTGCCCTGTGTTGTGTGTGTGTGTGAGAGAGAGAGTGCATGTGCACTGAGCTGTGTGTGTGAGTGCAGGGCCGGCTGCAGGCACCAGCCTGGCAAGCAGGTGCTTGGGGTGGCCTCTCTAGAGAGGGGCGGCACGTCCAGGTATTCGGCGGCAATTTGGCGGACGGTCCCTCACTCCCGCTCGGAGCGAAGGACCTCCCGCCGAATTGCCGCCGCAGATCTCGATCGCGGCTTTTTTTTTTTTGGCTGCTTGGGGCGGCCAAAACCCTGGAACCGGCCCTGTGTGAGTGTGTACATACCTGAGTGCATGGCTCTTTGTCTGTAGCTGGGTCAACCCACCCCCCGGCTCTCTGACGAGTGCTAACAACCCCCAGTGCCGGGGCTCTCAGTAGCTGCTGTGGGCACTGGGAAACCCAAGGGGGGGACTGTCCACAGCAGGTCCCCCTGACAGGGCACTGGTCTGTGTCCCCGCAGTGCCCCCTTCCAGCCCCGAATGCTCCAGCGAGGGGAGTGGGGAGGAAGGGGGGGACGTCCACCTGTCCTGTGCTGTGCGGGAAGGCGTGCCCGCCCCTACCTTCAGCTGGGAGAAGATCCCCCCCGACAAGCAGCCCCTGGTGATGAGCTACACAGGTACTGGGAACGGCGGGGGTGGGGGGGACGGGGTGGGGGGAGGGGTGCAGCATGGAGAGGGGTCTGGGTCCCATCAGGGACTCGCCCCTGAGCACGTGAGCCCCACAAGTACCTGTGCCAGGGTCACATGCCACAGTACCTACGTCGTGCACACAGGGCAATGTGGCATACACGGTGTTGCACCCAGACATGCAGAGTGTGCCAGATGCCATGTGACGGGCATCTTCTGGCAGAAGAAGCCAGTGGGGAGTGGGAGGGGGTGTCTAGTGGCTGGACCCACAGAGAGGAGAAGAGTCTTGTCCCACCACCGGCTAGG